TTTTTTTTTTTTTTTTTTTATTATATCGTTGGTTACACACCGTTTTATTTTATTAGATAATAATTAGATGGACGCGCGCGCGTACGTGTAAACGTATATTATTACATAAAAGCTCATATTATTTTAATAACGATTATCACATTTGTGTGAATAGAAAGAGATAGGATTATTGACATAATATGAGAAGGGTAATGGAATAAAGTAAATCGGTTTACGAGTTGATCCTATGCGCAATGCGGTCGTACCCTACGATATCGTATCATTATCACATCGAAGCTTCCAACTGGATATCTTCAAGCGTGTACTGATACTGAAGAGGATTATAAGCGTTCATTGATCTACGTACACGTTTGTCAGCTTTATTATTATCAATTTTGTAATCATTCTAAAGATTATTCACATACATTTATTTATGCGTATTTCAATTATTTATTAATGCTATATAATGTAATAGTATCACCTAGGGTGCGAGGGAGCGGGGGTAGGGGGTGGTGATTCTACATGAAAAAATTAACTTGAAAATGTAGTACGAAAATTTGATTAACTTGATACGTTTACAAACGTTGTCAATATAATATAACGATATTTCTCGTATCGGTTAAATTCATATATGTATATATATATATATATATATATATATATGTGCTTAACAAAACAAAGTTTTTAATTTCCAAGGATTTGTGAAAATAATTTGTCTAAAATTGATTTTTCTTTTAATTTAAAACTTTATTTGAAATATAAATTGTATTCTACATTTTTTCGATTTATAATTTTTCGACGTATAATCAATCCCCTACTCGTGAGTATCACAAATTAAAGAACACCCCTTGTACGTTATATGTATATTCGTAATAATTCATATTAAAAAATTGAATGGACCGTTTATTATGAAAATAGTGCAAGTTCATTAATAAGAAAAAAATTGAAAAATAAAAAGAACCCCCCGTATAACTTAGACGATGAATTACAAATAAAACATTGAGATCTTGTTTTGTCAAGTTTCTATTTTCAAAAACCATAGAGACTTATACTGCTTTTATACTAAACGGTTCAAATATTAATTTAATGAATTAAGATAAAAGAAAGGATTAGAATTGTAGGAATGAATATATCTATCTTTTATTATTTTTCCTCTTTCTTTAACTGATATATCTCGATGAGAATATCGCTTTTCCAACCATGGGAATTGATTTGTAACCACGCGATTAACTCGTAACAATGTCGATATTGTACGTGCTCTTCTACATACGACTACTTCGCCAAGTGTTACTCTATTTCTCTCTCACTCTCTCTCTCTTACACACACACACACACATTTTCACTATAAAGCTATATATATATATATATATATATAGTAGATGGGATAAAGCCGCCAACGGCATACCAGAGACACGAGATGTTATCTCTATTGTATGACACGATTATGTAACTGCGTATTAAATCCTTCTCTCTGTTAACAATGTGCACTAGCTGGTTCGACATTGGCCATGGCTACGAATAGTTTAAAATTTTTTTTTTTTTTTCATTTTTTCTTCTCATCTTCTTTTTCTTCTTTTTTTTATTTTGTTTTTTACATCCCTGTACAAAATTGTATTATTGTAAATACAAAAAAACTGACAATAGGATTTAAGATTGTTGTTTTGTTTATTTTTCTTTTCTATATATTATATGTACGAGTTTTTATTGAATTTGAAATATTGATTCGAAACGTATTAGAGAATTATCTAAATCATTTTAATTAGATTTTATATTTTTTATTCTTAAGCATTTAATCGGATCTCATATACATAATATAATATAATACAATTAATTAGATTTATATCAATGTGTATATTTGTATTGTTTTGTTTTGCTTGGATTTTTTTTTAGTCAGTCAAGGATAGAAAAAATATATTGGAATTGATGTTAAGGGAACCGTCGATCATCATATCTCGATTAGGTGATAAAAATTAGATCCCTTTTCGTCGAGACTTGCTTGGATTTTCTAGGACTCCCTCAGGGTAAGAAAGAAGAGAAGGATACGAGGAAATTACGTGTCAGTCAGCGTATCAAAGATTTTCTCTTGTGTGAAACGAATTCGTGAGTCTTCTTCTTATTTTTTCTTTTTTTGTTCCCCCCCCCCACCCACCTACCCACCCACTCCCCGTCGTACGATTCGTAACATTTATTTTCACATAGATATTATCGATTGTGTTATAAGAATGAAGCGTTAAAATTTAGATACACGATTTTATTCTTAACGCGTATGAAATCGTATAATGGATGTCAAAACGATTAACGATTCTCGCGTATAAAGATTACTTT